AGTATATGTTTTTACTTTCAAATTCTAGGGAGAAGCAGGCCAAAAACACCAGAGGTCAAAACGTGAAAAACAAAAGGGTTCATAACTTTCAAACATGATCTCATACACACACACACACACACACACACACACACTGTGTGTGACAGGGTGTACAGAAATAAGTTTTATAAGCTACTCAAACGTTAAGGCCAGCCTTTATAAGGAGACAAAAGTAGATTTGGGCAAATAGACGTAGTAAATATCAAAGTGGACGAATAGAAATTAGCCCGAGCTACAGCTTGCTAACACACATAGCTAATATTAGTTTTCTAAATAGCTAACTTGTCCCATCATTAGAAATCACCTCCTCTAACTTCCATAAAGCTGAGATTAATGCTTTGATTACAATCAGTTATATTAAAAAAATGTCCTGGCTCTTCAGCTTTATAATGACAGTGAATGGCCATTTCTGTTCTGAAGTCCATTAAAGCTGACTACAATCATTACACACACACTTCTGTATTAAAGCAAGGCAGGCAATTTTATTTTAGATATTTAAAATAGGAACAAAGAAGCAAATAACAAACAATAGCACAAATACAATATAAAAAAAAATATATACAAATTAAATAAACTGCAGTTTTTACAGGTACAATAGCCCTGGTTTATTTAACATGTAGTAAGAAATATTCCCCACAACCGAAATTGAATAAAATGTAAAAAAAAAAAAAAAAAAAAAATGAAAATATTAAAAATAAAAAAAGTGATTGTTAAAAGCAGTGGTTTTTTTTATATATATTAATCTTTATGAAATGTATGGCAACAGTTTCTCCCATTTGTTTTTGGCTGGTGTAGGACACACACTGTTTAGATTTAATGCTCCACAGTCCACACAATGTGCATTTTGAAATAATTGAGTGTGTAGCTGTGAAAGAGAACTGAATTTGCGGTCACACACATGAGACGACATCTATGCGCATACTTCAGCTGTGTACTTTTAACACGAGCACCACATTGAAATAATAACAGCATCTGATAGTTTGGCAGTTCATTAGCATCTAAAACTACATTCACACTCAATCCAAATCATTTTGTGTGATTATAATCTGATCTAAATGATTGTCTTTCATTTTCTGGAAAACCTGCATTAGTGTCTGTCCATAAAACAACACCAGCTCCATTGAGGAGTTTTAAACACAGATGTTGTATCTAGCCATAATGCTGGACGAAGAGATTTGGGCCCGGTTTCACAGACAGGGCTTAGATTAAGCCAGGATTAGCCCTTAGTTCAAGAAGGACTGATTTAAGTAGCTTTTATAAACGAGCCTTAGATAAAACATTACTGGTGTGCATCTCGAGATAAACAATGACACTGACATGTTTGTAGAAATGTCAGTGTGAGTTGCTTTCAGGTAAAAGCTCAAACATGTATTTTAGTCTGGGACTATCTTAAGCCTGGTCGGTGAAACCGGTTTTGTTTAAAGGTGCAGTACGTAACATTTTTTTTGTAGTTCACATTTACCAAATCTGATCAGATATGCACAAATTCTGGACTGACATTGAACAAGGCTAAAGTGATTGTGATGTTATTTCATGTTTTAAGACACTCAGGTAACCGTGAGAAGAGATTCAGCAGTTTCTCCACCGCCGTTCATGGCGACGGATGTACAATCACTGGAACTGGATCCCAAGTCTTTCTCTCTTTTAAAACACGGGATCTGTAAAGAAAACAACAGAAAACTGAGCTTAGTGAAAAACACAATTACAAGACGACATGTAAACCAAACATCAAATAAAATGTTGTCAAAGTCAAAGCTTAATTTATACATTTCAAGCTAATACATTTAAACCACATTCTTTGACACCATTTTAAATATTAAAAAACAAGCAAATAACTACTAATTAACACATTCACTATTTTAAACTGGTTTATAAATCATTCTCAATCACACATGAATACTTGATTTTCAATTAAATATTAACTTTTCACTCAGAGCCGAATACGTCGACGAACAGTAAATTAATAGTGACCAATAAAAGCCTGTTTTTGGTGGCAACAGCAACGTTTACAGGGACACCTTTTGTTTCAATCAGAATTAATTTATTCCAATAGATGAATCCAAACGTAGCGTTTACATGGATGCTAAATAAAGTGATTTGGGTTTATGTCACAAGCTTCAAATGGGAACTAAGGATTTTTTTGTCATGCACACACTGCACAAATACACCGTTTCCCGCTGTTGGCGCATATACTTTCCTAATATTTGCCTCTTTTCCTTGTTTTACAGAGCAGTGTGAATCTGTCTTTATTTCAGGTGCTGGTTAGGAGACGAGCACATGAACCGTGTGTCGACAAAGTGTGTGAGAGAGAGAGAGTGTGTGAGAGAGAGAGAGAGAGTGTGTGAGAGAGAGAGAGAGAGTGTGTGAGAGAGAGAGTGTGTGAGAGAGAGAGTGTGTGAGAGAGAGAGTGTGAGAGAGAGAGAGAGTGTGAGAGAGAGAGTGTGTGAGAGAGAGAGTGTGTGAGAGAGAGTGTGAGAGAGAGAGTGTGTGAGAGAGAGAGTGTGTGAGAGAGAGAGTGTGTGAGAGAGAGAGTGTGTGAGAGAGAGAGTGTGTGAGAGAGAGAGAGTGTGTGAGAGAGAGAGTGTGTGAGAGAGAGAGTGTGTGAGAGAGAGAGTGTGTGAGAGAGAGAGTGTGTGAGAGAGAGAGAGTGTGTGAGAGAGAGAGTGTGTGAGAGAGAGAGTGTGTGAGAGAGAGAGTGTGAGAGAGAGAGAGTGTGTGAGAGAGAGTGTGTGAGAGAGAGAGTGTGTGAGAGAGAGAGAGTGTGTGAGAGAGAGAGTGTGAGAGAGAGAGAGTGTGTGAGAGAGAGTGTGTGAGAGAGAGAGTGTGTGAGAGAGAGAGTGTGTGAGAGAGAGAGAGTGTGTGAGAGAGAGAGAGTGTGTGAGAGAGAGAGAGTGTGTGAGAGAGAGAGAGTGTGTGAGAGAGAGAGAGTGTGTGAGAGAGAGAGTGTGTGAGAGAGAGAGTGTGTGAGAGAGAGTGTGTGAGAGAGAGAGTGTGTGAGAGAGAGAGTGTGTGAGAGAGAGAGTGTGTGAGAGAGAGAGTGTGTGAGAGAGAGTGTGTGAGAGAGAGTGTGAGAGAGAGAGTGTGTGAGAGAGAGAGTGTGTGAGAGAGAGAGAGTGTGTGAGAGAGAGAGTGTGTGAGAGAGAGTGTGTGAGAGAGAGTGTGTGAGAGAGAGAGTGTGTGAGAGAGAGAGAGTGTGTGAGAGAGAGAGTGTGAGAGAGAGAGTGTGTGAGAGAGAGAGTGTGTGAGAGAGAGAGAGTGTGTGAGAGAGAGTGTGTGAGAGAGAGTGTGTGAGAGAGAGTGTGAGAGGAATTTGTCTGTGTGTTTGAGAGAGGGAGGGTTTGTGTTGTGATGTCTAGTGACAACTAGAACTACTTGTCTTTCATTTTTTATGTTACATACATAAGTGTATGTTTTCTTTCATTATATAACTTCTCATGTTAATTATTTGTTGTTATTGGTTGTTGTCTCCATCTGCTTTTATGCTCGTTTAATTGTTATAATAAGCAGATTGCTTGTCTCTTTGTCTGTCAACTGTTTGTATTATTTTGTGAAGCGACCTTGGTTTCTTGAAAGGCACTATAAAAAATAAACGTATTATTATTATTAAGAAAAAGTGTTGTGAGGTTAGTTACTGCAGGCTGGAAACGATGTGTGTGGGTTTGCGATGTTGACACTGGACTGGTAGATCTCGGGAGGTTGGCTACTGAAAGATCATATGTATTTTCAGTTAACTTTAGTTAGATGCATTCACATTGTTACTGTGCCTCAGATGTAAATCAACTCTGTGTCTGTAAATGTGTGAACCAAATGGCCCATACAGATGTATGGCCTATAGAAACTGAAAAACTCATACAATCAGTTAACTTCTCAGCCCACATAAACTGATTGGTGTGAATGACAAAGAAACAGCATTGCTCAGAGTAGATCGATCTCCTGAGGGAGGCCCTAACAGTTTTATATTGTTTGCAGCCCATTTGTCTTCATGTTTAAAGTTATGCTTCACAGACAGAACTTTGGGTTAAGATTGTTGAAGGGTGACATGCTAACGTCGCTGCTAAAGAACTGCGCTACCCTACTACCTTCAATACATTCTTCTTCCCACAAGAACCCTGGTCAAGCTTACTTACAGGGTTCCTACAAAATTCAAGTCTTTTTAAGACCTTTTTAAGACAATTAATACCTATTTCACGTCCCTATACCAGCAAAGAAAAACAAATTCCTTCAACTTGTGTTCATTTATTTTTCAAATGTGGAATGGGTAAAAGATGATAAGCCAAGCAGGTGTGAAAAATAAAAACATTTCAGTAGGCCACAAGAATGTTTATTTAAATGAATGTTAATTATTCGATATTTTGTTTATGATACGTCCTGTCCAACATAACATGCACCTCTCGAAAAAAAAGCGTCACTTGGTAGCGTTGCATTCCCCCCCCCCCCATAACATTTGTAATTTTACATATGTTTAAAAATATCGAAATTAATATCGATATCCCAATATTCATTATCGATATCGTGCACCCCTATGCTCAATCCTACTTTAGCAACTGTTTCCATCTGCCAAATTATCAGACAAACTTTTGCTCTTTCTCTGAACACTGAGGTGTATTTGCACAGCTTTAAACACAAATTATTTAAGATATAATGTAAGCAAGTTTCCCCCCTCTTTTCTAAATCGTTAAATAAAGCATGATGATTAAAACTTATCAAATGATGTGACACCTGATTCTTTACATCACCTAAATCGTATTACTTATAATCGTTTTCAACTGATTTACCATTTATAAAAACATTTAGGTTAGATAAAATGCTTGGCAATGTCGCAATTCATTCCAGCTAGACTAGGAACATAATAAACTTAATTTTAAAAACTTCATGAGCACAATCATGACCATTTATATAATATTTTTCAAAATCCTGATTCTGGTTCATTACAGGTAAACGGATATTAGTAATATACTCACTGTTGACCACAAGTGTAGCATTATCCTCACACACTTTTGCTCCAGTGTAGGCTTCTGCTTTATAGAGTCCTGATCTGGAGATGTTCACATCTTCAATGATTAAAGATAAACGATCTTTTCCAACTATCAGTGTAACTCCAGGTGAGGGAGGATCATCATAGACCCAAGGCTTCTGCGCAATAACAAAGGGCTTTTTTTCATTGCGGTCTTTTTTAAAAGAAATCTTCACTTCATCTGCTTTCTCCACTTCATCGATGTGGAAGGATATTGTCACATTCTGTCCATCGATCGCCTCGAACTTCGACCCAGCAACAGCCAGAACTGCAAATCAGAACCACTGTATTAGATTGAGGAATAAACTGACAGCACTTTTTTTCATCAACCAATTAAATCAACAGTCTACATACCCGATAAAATGAACAAATTCACCGTGAAAATGGTATTCATCTTCAGGAAAACCACGATAAGCTTAAACAAATGTGTAAAAACATTCAATTTGCTCAAGCTAGCTAGATGCTAAATGCTAACCCGTGATCGCTGAGATTTTCTTCTCTTTTCGAGATTTGCAGAAAAATGTGTTACTGCCCTACAGTGTCATTTGTAGAATTCCACTGAATAAGATAAATCCTTATTTAAAGTTCAGTTTTATGTTATGAAGAAACAGCGGCTCTCGCAATGGCAGCACGCAATCCTCCTTGTTTGGGATCTGTCAGGATGTGAACTGTGCGCGCACGCGCGCGCCTGTGCACACTTCTTCCGGTAGTGATAGAAGAAACGAAGCTTTTCAAAGCTTCGAAAGAAATGAACCAATTGATTCACAAAATGATTCACTGTTTCGAAACACCGCACCGGACTCCCCCCGCCCAACAGACTAGGTTGCCTCGAGGACTTATGTTGCTTTCAATAAAAACATTTTTCATTATTCACGCACACAAACATTAAGTAGGCTATTTTAAGAGATTTACCCGCATACTACTTGTTGCTATCTTGAGCTGACGAAATGAAACCCACTGAATACAGCTTGCTGTGCTGCTTTTCTGAAATGACAGACTCTGCTAACAAAGTCGTATCCGATCTTATAAGCCCAAATTTCGACCATACACGTTCCTTAATTAATCTGGACCAACGTGTACATATTCACAATTAGATTTTTAAAGGTCATATTTTTATTATCGAAATATCTACGTTTATGTAAAATAGATTATTGGGTGGTAAAATCATTTACTTACTTGCGACATTGAAGGTTTCCGAAGAGAAAACGATTACAACACATCTTAGCTGTCTTTTGGTGGTTCTTGATTTTCGGGAATTTGTGAGTACCGGTAGGTAGGGCAGGCTGCAGAATTACGGGAAATTCCACTCAAGAGCAGTCGGAAACATCTAGCAAAATTCGAGAACGTATCTTGTTACTACCCAAATCAGCCCAACTCGCTCCATGTGCAACCAATCGCAGTGCTTGTTACACAAAGTGCATTGAGTGACGGACCTATAGCAGAAGGTTATAGGGAGAGTTGCGTCATCGCCGTCTACTCCAATGAGAATCGACCGTTGTTGACAAAATGAAAAGACCGACCGTTGAGTGAGACAAGCAAATGGCGGTCTGTGGCATAGATATCTATATAAAGGCTAGATGTCTTACGGCGGAGTCACTTCCGGCATCACCGTTCGGCCATCTTGTCACAGGTAGGCTCTGATGTAAAGTGAGTGATCAGCATGAACACAAATCCTCTTATCTCGCTGAAATCTTGACGGATTTACAAACGGTTTGGTTTCTTATTAACGTTATTAATGTGGGTATAATACTAGCCTATATAATGGATGTTGACATAAATAATACATAATTATCCATAAGTGTTCAGTGTCATAACTACGTCTCTGACGTTTATAACGAACCAACCCGTTTGAAAATCGGTAGAAAATTGAGCAAGTTATGGTTATTTAAAAAGTACATGCACCATAAACACAATGTTACGAGTGAGCGAGCAGCCTGTGACAAGATGGCCGCCAGGTGCTGATGTCCACCACCATTGGCCAACAGCGCGGACGAGACATCTAGCCTTTATATAGATATCTATGGTCTGTGGAGTCTCCTCCATCGATATACTCACAGCGATGTTTTTTTCGTTCTTCGCTTAGGGTTATACAATTTTTTTGTAGTTACAGCAATGTTGTTTTACGATGAGTGTGAATAACCAGCGTCGTTAACATATTTCAGGATAACCTTTTTTTGGTAAAAAAAAAAAAAAAAAACGTTGCAGTTGGTTTGAAGTATTTTTATGTTCTTAACATAAACGTTCTTATGTTCATGTTCGCTATTGTTTCATAAAGACAGGATAACTGCAGGTGACGTTATTGTCTTAAATCCATTGCAAACAAGTAAACAAAAAAATGTCTTAAACATCCCATGCACATTCATACTATATGAGTAAATACATTAAAATCTAAAACAAAACATCTGTTGATACACAGACATATGAGAGCGAGAGCCATTTATACATTTCGATCAAACATCATGTCAAGCATTTTGTCTGTTCTTTGTCCAAGTCCATGTTGTTCTTGTAGTCTCCACTTGCAGTCCTGCATGAGGATCCAGTTGCTCAGAGAAAGCAGTAGGAATGTATTCCCACTGAGCACAGGAGAAAATAATCGTTGCTCAAGTCAGCAGGAGCCATTTCAATATAATTTATGATTGGGTGCTGTACCATATTTGGGTGTATCTGCACTTAAGACCAACACTGGGAAGTTTAATGTTTATAAAAGGTTTATTTTTTATATTTTTTAAAAAGGCTTGGTCAAAGCGTCAGTGCAGGAGTTCTTAGGATCCACTGAATCCCCTTTGTGTGTTTCTTGTGTTGAAGCCAAGATAAAGGAGACAAAAACTGAAAAAAGTTATATTATATACAGTAGTATATAATACAATGTTGGTATGACTCCCCATTTAATTTTAGCCTTGTATCCATTTTAATTGCTTGCCTTTATTTAGCAGTTTTGTATCTCACTTATGAACTTGCCTTTAACGTCAATTCAAAAATCAGCTAAGCTGAAACATATAACGTTAAAGGTAATCAACAGAAATCACAATGCCTGCCTAAACGCCAACCATACGGGTTAGCTTAGGCTACTAGTTTGTAGCATATGCTCTTCCTACAAGAAGGAATTGTATTCTTTATTGCAGTTATTTATAAGAAATACAAAGGATTTCATATCACAAGCCTCAATGTTATATTTAACCCATTTTAGAAGCCTCTTCTCTATTTACATAACGAATGATAAAACTGCCATAAATAAAACGGGTTTAACCATTAATAGGCTGTTCGTGGTTTGTTACGTGTTATAGCTACTTAATCCAATAACACATCTAAAGCGAAAATCTATTATCTGACAGCATCACCAAAATCTACTAGTTTAGAGGGCAATAATCAACTAAAGCATGCTTTAATACACAAGTAAATTCGATTCAGATGTACTGTTAATATAATAACGTGTTCTTAAACGTCTATCTTACCTTTTAAAAGTGGTTTAAAAGCATGGGCGGCGTTCCCTAAAAGCATCGTAAAGTCTATTTGATCGTAGAATAATCGCCACTAATGGTCTCTACGGTTAACTTAACTCTCTCGATGCTTTTGGGAAACGCAGCCCTTTTCTATGGCAACTGTAAATAATTCGAAACAGCGAAATAGTTTCCGGGAAAGTGGTAGAAATTAGGCCGATCGCTCCGGCTGGTAAACATCTTCGTACTATCATTGTTTGTTCTGAGGTGATGCATCATGTCACACATATATATGTGTGTGTGATCGGAGGCTCCACCTTCTCTGATGTGGAAATTTCCTCTGGTTCATTTTTCTGTTCAGTGTGGAGTAGTGAAGGGAGAAACTAAGCTTCGAATCAATTGAACCAATTGCTTCGCAAAATGTTTTGATTCAATTTCACCACACGCTGGTGACCCCTGCTGATCAGAAGAGTGTAATGCAACAAACAGTCAGGCCAAACATGCATAAAAACACCTTTTATAAACATAGCAAATGTTTTATTGAAAGTAAAATCGATCACATGCAAGTAACTAATGATCTACTAATATGGAATATTAAGTGTCTATATAATATGTGTTCTGGTTTGATTAACAGGGTCGGGAACAGACACAATCGCACATGTCTTACTACTCCCACAAAGTTTTAAAGTGAAGTTAAAGGGATACTCCACTTTTTTTTTGGAAATAGGCTAATTTTACAACTCCCCAGAGTTAAACTGTTGAGTTTTACCGTTTTTGAATCCATTCAGCCGATCTCCGGTTCTGGCGGTACCACTTTTAGCATAGCTTAGCATACATCATTGGAGTGGACAAGACCATTAGCATTTAAAAAAAAAAAAAAAATGACCAGAGTTTCGATATTTTTCCTATTTAAAACTTGACTCTTCTGTAGTTACATCGTGCACTAAGACCGACGGAAAATGTAAAGTTGCGATTTTCTAGGCTGATATGGCTAGGAACTATACTTCCTGCGTAATAATCAAGAAACTTCACTGCCGTACCATGAGAGCAGCAGGCGTAATGATATGACGCAGCGCCTGAAAATAGGCTACCTTCCGTCAACACAACGGAACTATTTTCAGGCGCTGCTTCATATCAAAGCCCGTCTACGGAAAGCCTGGCCACTCCCTATTAAAGGATAATTCTGGTATTTAACACTTTGAGTCTATTTTCTAGTTTGTTGTAGATGAACTAGAGTGGTGGACTTAGAAATTTTGACGATGGGTCCTGTCTCGACTTTTTTAATATTTTAGAATCGCCTCTGAGCGCTTCAGAGTGGATGTCTATGGGCATACTCAAACATGTCCTTAAAACAACCCTTAACGTTCGTTTTCAAATTTGTGCAACTCACCGAGTGGTTAGTGGTGTTCGTTGATGTTCCAAAACAAGTAGCGTAGCGAAATACAGTTTCTGTCGTGTTTTATTTGCCATTTTTTAAAATCGCATTGATGTCTGCTGGAGGACTCAGTGCTCGTTGATATTACTGCGCTACCGGAAACGGAAAGGGGTTTGTTTACATTTGGTTGTAGTCTTTTCGCTCGGTTCTCCGTCTCTCAGAAGGCTAGCGTGAGCTGAGCAACTGCGGCAAAGTGGCGCCATCAAGTGGCGGGGGTGTGCTAACGCTTCAGACTCAAATATCGAGCGGAAGTTTATACGCGGTTGTGAGGTATCTGAAAAAATAGTTCCAATATAGCAAATAACACGAATTGAAAGCATACATTGCGCCGATATATTTGTTTTTAATCATCAACGAACACCACTAACCACTCGGTGAGTTGCACAGTTTTGAAAACGAACGTTAAGGGTTGTTTTAAGGACATGTTTGAGCATGCCCATAGACAGCCACTCTGAAGCGCTCAGAGGCGATTCTAAAATATTAAAAAAGTCGAGATAGGACCCATCGTCAAAATTTCTAAGTCCACCACTCTAGTTCATCCAAAACAAACTAAAACATAGACTCAAAGTGTTAAATACCGGAATTATCCTTTAAGTCCTATTGTACCGACTTTTTGGTTGTAGTTCCACCAGAGTTCCACTGGGGGCAATAGTCCGAGTGCAAAATGAATGGGAGTCTATGGGGCTAAACGGCTAAATTGGTCTTTTTCACCCGATTGTCATTGATAAATTTTAGATTTGAATGTAGGTTTTGCAAGTCCAACATGGGTTATAAGCCGAAAGTTGAATGAACGAGTACTTATGTCCTTTCGATTTCTTACAGGTTGAGTTGTTGTTGCCCATAACACGCTAGCATTCTGCTAATGGACGCTGATTGGTCAGTGAAGGACTGATTACGACCAGAGATACCGCTTGATGGCATCGTGGCATCCGAAGCGGGACCACACATGTATTTACCTGTGTCAGTTGTGTAGTAGATGCCTCGAGAGAAAAGAAAGTGCAGAACGCAAAAGCATAGACATAATAAATACATAGACGCCCTATTGGCCGCTTTGGGACGTTGCTGCGATAGTTTTCTTATTGTGGAAAAAGCATTTTCTGTGATTGACCCGATTTTAGCAATAACAAAGATAACTGATGGATCCTTTATCTATGGTAATACGATATGGTACAACTACAGTGCAGTGCAAATAGTAAATATAAGATAAAGTTAGAAGTAATAGTAAATAGTTTAGTCAATAAAATAAACAAACAAACAGCACAGCAAATAAAATAGTAATGAAAAGGCTATATACAATATAGGCTATATAAAATAAAATGACACAACCCTGTCTATTTTTCAGTTTTATTGATC